CTCCTTTTTGGTGTTTTAGATGGATCAGTGTCTCTCTCTCACCTCATTTTTGTTCTTTTCTTTCCTTGCTTCTTGGTTCGGTTTTCGATGCTTATGTCCGATGCATAAGTGTCCAGGTATAGCCTTTTGCTATACGTGAAACCATCAAGCAAGGTCGCAAGTAGTCGTTTTGGGGCGTACGGTGTTGATGATAAAGGCACACCGAAGTTAGAGCAAAAAGATGTCATATCCTATAACATCAAGATCCATGCATTTGATGAATAATAGGATATGATATCCTTTACCGACATAAGTCTAGCGGGAGTTGGCTCGAACCTCCTCAGTGGGTCGGCGATCCTATGCCTGACAGTGTAATCGTCTTGTGGACAATAAAAATTGCCAAAAATCTATTTCAAAATATAAAATACATTCTTCCTCATAAAACAAAATTTGATAATCTTTTTTAAGATTTATGTGTATGTCAAAAATATGAATTTTAAAATATGTGTTTAAAATACATTGTCCACCTGACGAATACCTGTTTAGGCTGGGAGATAGCCCCCTAAGTGAGGTTCAGGACACCTTTCTAGACGAGTGGCGGGTTCTGTACATTATACATTCGGGTGACCGAGTAGCCTTCGTGGACCCTCGAGAATAAATATACAGCTGAGCCTAGTCCCATACGAGTGCTTGCGGTCCCCCTCTTCCGAATCCTTTTTTTTTCTTTGCTTTATCGAAGCTTTAAGATAGGGCACTCGTGTGACTTTTCTTTTTTTCGGCATTTCTCCAGGATTTTTGAGAATTTTCTTTTACTTGAGTCTTTTTCGTTGATTTTCTCGAAATTTTCTGTCATGAGTCGTTGCTACACTCTTCTTTGGATTTCCTGGATAACGTTTTCTTCCAAACTTCGCTTTTGAGATGCATTTAGACTTGTTATACTTAAGAAACAGCGGATTTCACGGGTGTACAGGTTTGCTTTACATTTTACAGCACTTCATTTTCTTGTTTCTGTCTGCTACTGTTCTTTCTGTACAGCATGTTATACTATTCTTGTTTCTACTTGTTACTGTTCTTTCTGTACAGCATGTTATATTTGTCCTATTTCTACCTGCTATTGTTCTTTTTGTACAGCATGTTATACTATTTTTGTTTCTACTTGCAACCGTACCGTACAGCATATAATACTATTCATGTTTTTGCGTACTACTGTTCTACATGCATCCTACTGTTTGTCCTGTCCTGCACATTTTATATTATATAGCTTTAAGCATTCCTTCTTTTATATAGGACATTTAGAGGATTACAATCATAGGGTCGTTTGATTTGACACCATAACTGGACACCCTAGCAAACTTCAACTCGTCACGTCGGGGAGCTTGGAGCTAGTACGGTGGGCAGCACGGCCATCTTCAATAGCAGAACATGTCTTCCCCAGCAAAACCATTCCTTTTCCTAGAAATCAAACAACAAATCATAGGATTTCGAGGTTGTTTTCCTAGCGCAACATAAATCCTCCACCTTTTCTTTAGTCATTCGTATAGCTCTACTGTACGATTTAAGCCCTAACTCGTTCTAGGTTCCGAGATTGTCGTCCGATACGATGTAAACCCTCATATCTTCTAGGCGACGTATGATCGGACAATATCACGCAAATATAAACTCTAATTAAATAAAATTGACAGGATGAAACACTTGAATAATTTCTTCTCAAATCTAAAGCCAAATCATAGGATAGACCGGGAAGTCACCACGGGAAGTCACCAGAGTTCACCGGGAAATCACCCGAGTTCACCTCCGGATCTGTGGTCTCCCCTAGTTTCTCTTCATTTGGATTCCTCAACAATGTTCCAGATTCGAATCTTTCCCCTTTCACACATCTTTGTCCGATTTTGTTGAAAAGTCCTATCCTTTTGACTTCTCTGAATATAGTATTCCCTGACTTTTATCAAGAGTTTTCTTAAGTGACTTCGGTCATTTAAGATGTAATTAATTATAAGGGTTTGCCCTTATAGAAAGTTTTTCCAAACTCAGTCTAAAATAAACCCTATTTAATTCTTTGTATTAAATAAGAGAACTTGTCGGCAAATAAAACGGTTTTGTAGACCAAACGGATGTCATATATTTCTTAGTTTATTTGATCGAGCCTCATCCTCAAGTCTTGTGTTTATCCCTCGGGATAGATACAGGATTTGAGGTAGAGCGCTCTTTCATTTAAACTGTGGAAAATATGAGGTCAGTTTGATTTCATATTATATATATAAATTAAAGTGTCCTCCCGAAGCGGGCAACGGGATTTCACTCCCAGCGACCGACAGCTTCTTACGGGCAACCCCCCAACTTTGACCTTTTAACTTTACCCCCTTTTAACGCCGACATTTACTCATACGTGCTAGGCCTCAAACCGAAGACATTGTGGTCAGAGCCAAAGCACTCAATCACTAAGCCAAGATAAGTTGCTTAACATGTTCATAAGCTTTAACATCATGTGATTATTCATTTGACAGATTAATCATTTTACAAGAAATTTCAAGACATTGTAAAGTCAATATGAGTCGAAATAGTTTTCCACTATTTCTTCAAATTTTGCATAAGTTGCCTAACCGCACCAACAAAAAAGATAAATGAAGTCTAGTTATGATCATATAGATTGTTTACAAACCAAACATGAGAAGCGCCTTGAAATTTTTTCTTCATTCTCACATATTTGTAGACTATCCATATAAGTCGCTAGGTTTTCATCACACAAAAATTATTTTCTAGATCTATAGTTTTTTTTTTTAGAGAGAGAAACTCCTTTACCATATACAAAGTTAATGCAAGTACTATTGAGTGCCCACGCTCTTTAGTAGCAAACATTTTTTGAAGCTGCTTATTTATTTCAATATTTTCCAAGGAGTTACTTCCCAAGAGAAATGTGTCATTAACAACATAGAAAAAAATTATAACAAGTACACTAAATAAAGATAACATTAATAACAGTGTTATTTTGTAATTCAAACCTCATAGATTTTGTTGAACCAAAATGAAGTACTTTTTTAACCTGTATATGGCCCACCTAAGCTTACATATTTTGTTCTCCTCCAAAGCAACGTAGTACAAGTTGATCCATATAGATAGCCTTAATGCTGCTTTCAAATAAAAAGCATTGTAGGCATCGATTTATGGCATAGTTCAACCTTGATTAATGGCAACGCATAGAAGAAGACGAACAAAAATAAATTAATCCGAGATAAAACCTCAAAGAAGCCAATTTCAAAATTCAGTGTATCATTTTACTAACGCTCAAGTCTTATAGCATTCAATGTATTCATCAAGATTGAACTTAATAGTACAAATCCAATAGCATGAAATGATTAACCACATAAGAGGGTAAAAGCAACTAACAGATATGTCAATCATCAAGAGCTCTCCAATTTCAATACCTATTATATGCTTCCATTTAGAATAGATGAAACCTCCTCATACTTTCCAGGAATAGAGAAAATAAAAAAAGGCAAAGTAAAATGACAAATAAAAAATGATAGATGATCAAATGACATAAAGGCACATATCGGGGTCAATATAAGGTCGTTTCACTTTTCATTGAGCAACAGTAAAATGTAGATCTAAGGGCTACAAATATTTAGATGTAGACAACTAGATGGAGGGAGATGCTTTAGTAGGAAATAAACATGCATATATATAAGCATGTAATGGAGGATGAGCGAGCATCATGGCTATATGTGATAGTCTGGTGGAGGATATAGCAGATCAGCACCATGATGGAAAATAAAGTGAGGGGAGTTGTCTCATGAAAGATAAAGCCAGCATATACATATAGTCATTATATAGCCATTTTGAGTATGGGATGAGTCCCAAAAAATGCACCCAATCACAAATAAGAAAGACAGTGGAGAAAAGCAATCGAAAATTGAAAGATTAAAATAAAAAGAAGATTTGTGGGTTAAAAAATAGAGAATGGAAGCAATAAAAATTGGCAAGAATAAGATAAAAAGAAGCTTTGTGGGTTAAAAAATAGAGAATGGATTAGGACAGAATACAATTCAAGTAGTATAAGATAGAAAGAGCATTCCACAAAAATGACTAACAAAATATATGTGAAACATTAAAGTGCGGCAATATCAAGGAAATGTTAATGTTTACATGCAACAATTCATTTTGTTGGCGATAAACACTAGATGCAGAATACCATTCTCATCACAGGAAGAACAAAAACTATAATGTATACATCCAAAAGCATTATTATTGTGAATGATTTTAATTAGGTGAAAAATTGAACTTTAATCTTTTAATAATTAATTTGAATTCAAAGAATATTTTTTATTGAAACTTCAAAAGGTAAACCCAAACAACCTAATTGTGATCATCAATGAAGAAAAAAATATCAGAAGCCAAAAGGAAAGTTATGAGACTTGGTCCAAAGATTGCGAAGAGTCAAAAGGTGCATTATTGTGTGAAGTGGCAGGAAAATGATAGAATATGATATTTACCCTATTAACAAGCTTCCAATTCAAAATTCGAAATATATAAAGGTGAATGAGGAATGCTCTGAGGGGGATGTTCAGTAGCATAGAAATTAGGCTGGATTTAAGGTAAATCCAATCAAACGTCGTAAAACAGAAAATTAAATCAAGTGCCCCATTAAATTCGTCTTTCTCTCCCTTCCATATATTTTTTGGATGCAAATCTATATATATTAAATCTAACTCTTTGGTGGATTTGACGGAGTTAAATAGGGAAGAAAGTCATGGCTATAAAAACCTGAAATAAAATGTCAAACACCTCAAATAGTTTTAATTGGATTTAACCTCAACTGAACCAAACAATATTCTGAATTTAATAGTACATAGATCTGATGAATCCAGATCAACTGGATTTCCTAAATCCTATTAAATGTAAATACTGAGTCCAACCAAACACCCCTAAGGATGGTAAAGAGGATGGACCATATGATAGTGCCATAGATAAAAGGAAATAGAAAATAAAGCAAAAAAGCAGCATGAATGATCTAATAATGCGACTAATATAAACACACCCACCAATTATCTAATTCATGATGAGATCCTGAAAGGCATGGTATGGAGCATAAAAGACTATTGAATAGTTATGAGACCAAGTTAAACAATTTATAAACAAAAAATTGACATAAAGTTGTTGAACATAAAAACATTGTGCCTACACTAGATTGACTGATAATTTCTGAAAGGCTAAACGAGAGCTATGGGCACTAGTAACAATGGGAGAGAGGCCAATGATAAGAGATGAAAATAATTGTTTATTAATAATCATTCAAAAGAATGCGAAAGTCTAAAACACAAATCATACTATAATAAATAGTTGCAACCAAGTCAATACATGAAAGAGAATATGGCAAAAATGTGCATCTAATAGTCACAAAAGGTCATAATTCTCTTGGGAAATTCTAACAAAACCTGATGAGATACTAGTGTTGTTTACTGGAATAGGTTCAATGCATTAGACATGCTTAACAACAGGTCGATAGTGAAAACTTTCCCAACAATGGTCAAAAGAATCTTGACGAAGTAAGAAATAGCTGCATCTGCAACCATGACCCGACACCTCAATCATTAAGCCCACGAGAAACATGAAAACCTCTTATCTAAAGGCAATGGCAACATGATCGTCATAAAAAGTGGAGCATGCAAATCCATAAAAGAACTAACGCGAGTGAAGGATGGTGTTCAATAAATAAACTCCACCGTCATTTGAGCTTGAACAGTTAGTAAGAACAGATGAATGCCAAAGTGGAACTCGACAATAATATATTCTTCATTATGGTTTTCTTTTGTAGTTTGATAAAGGCAATAGTGAAAAAGTTATGCCATTTTCCTTCAAACTACTCATAAATAGATTTTCCACCTTGTGGCAAGAAGAAATAAATTAAAAAGTGTAAACTCAAGAGACATTGATGTCCGGAAGGAAGGTGGTGTGCAGATAGTCCGCCATCCCTTTGGCAGTTTGCCAAAACATGATGATAGATGCAATAGTATGTTCAAAGCCCTTTAAGATCCACAGGAGAACAGCATATTTGAAAGTTGGTCATTTCGATATTTGGCAATCCTCATTCAAGAGGCCAAGTGTCAAGATGACTAAATTTCTCATGAGAAACTATGACAAGAAAGAAAACTCGTGACCGCAGAAGAAAGTTGGTACATTGAGTTAAACAAATGTATCAATAACAAATGAAAGTATTAATATATGGGAGTATAGTAGATCAACCCATTAATGCATTCCAAAATCAAGGAAAAAAAATAATTTAAGTCATCATAGATCTAGTTAAGAGAGTGAGAGTTATAGCTCCAAAGAAGACCAACTAGAATCGACTTAGAAGATCTATGTTAGCTAGCTAAAGTTGCATGTGAGAGTATAACATGCGATTATGGACTACAAGAAAGTGCTTGAGAAGGCAACTAGACTCAGAGGGTGAGTGCACGGTATTGGTAAGCAGGCTCCAGTGTGAGTGCATGTTGAGTGCAAGCAAACAGGGAGGGAGGGAGGGAGGGAGGGAGGGAGGGTGCACGTTGTTGGGGAGTATGTGGAGTAAGGATTGCAAGTTGAGGCAGAGGCTGGTGAGTTGTCAGCGAGCACAGGTTTTCAAAGGAAAGAGAGCAACTTTGAAGGGAGGAAAGGGAAGTGGTGATCGCAAGGGTTTGGAATTAAACATCGTTTTAAAACAATGTTAGAAAAAAAGACTATTTAGGCGTGCATTATTTACTAGATAAACCCTGCCCCCGAACCTAAAATTAAAATAGGGGAATAATTACAATGTTCAAAGGCAAACCGAATTAATATAAAATCACTCCAAAAATATAGACCTCTCAGAATACGATATTTTTCCACTTAACAAGAAAGCCAGTTCAATATTCTTAACTGTAAAATGTTCTACCAATGGACTATAATTTTTAGGAAATATGTTACGAAATATGTTAATCTATTATTCATCTTCTTTAATAACAACATGCTTTTACGTTTTTTTTTTTTTAATTCTATGTAAGCAAGGTTGAAAGAACATAATATACAACAAAATTTTTTCTAAAGCATTAGGATCTTAACGAAAGTATTCACTAGAATTAAAGCATAAACTTACATTTCCATTTGGAGTAGAATCATGGAGAGAAGCATCGAGATTACAAATAAGTTTGACTTTGTCCATACTTTCATCAATCAAATTTGTGTTTCCATTTGGTGTGTTCATGTTCATAACAAGACTGCAAGAACTTTCACTGGAAATCTCCTGTGGTTATCTACAGGGGGTCAAATATCTAAATGAAAATCCAGAACACAAATGAAAGTTATTCTGTTTTAGGAAGTCATTTCAAGAGCACGTTCATAAATTCCAATAGCAAGTAAATCGGGATTAAGTTTGTAGTTGAAGTACCTGTTTCTCGTTATTTCTATTTGAAGGAGTTTGATCACAACTTCCACTGCAACTAGATAACTCAGGCCCTGAAGCAATGTCTATACTCTCAGGAACAGACCCCTTCACATAGGCACTGTAATCTTGCATATGATGAGAAGCATGTGTGCAGAGATGACCGTTAGAAAAACGTCCTATATCACTGTGCCCATCGAAATCTATATCTTGACTCATGTCAAAAGGAGGATCAAATGCCTGCAGAGGTATTGTTTGTTGAGTCGCATTCTTAAGGTATCATTGTTATTCCCAAGCAATGCTAAGAACAAATAGATCAGAACATTATGAAAAAAAAGGGGGTAGTTATAAACTGGATTAAAAATTGGTCGCTGTTAGCACCGGCCACAACAAATTAACATATATTAATAAATAAAAAAAACTAAGAACAGAGAAGAAAGATTTACCTGAAGCATGTTCATGATGAAAAATGAATTTGCGGATATACACCTGCAAATACCTTCCATGTTAGCAGCATAGAAATGTTTTAGTTTTCCAAAAAATTAGACAAATGCTGACAACATTATGGAAACAGCAAAGTCCTAAGCCAATGGCTTTCTGCACAATAGATTTTGGGTTCAAAAGCTTCTCTTAGGGTCAGTTTGGCGAGGCGTTTATTGTGCAGCAAGGTTTTGAGCCGCGAATTCTATCGTTTGACAACAGTGGTGCGGCAGCTTCATTGAGGAAGCGGATGTAAACGGGGGCCGTGGGTTAACACCTCAGGTCCACATTTCTTATTTCATTTTTCCCCTCCCTACCCCCACGTCTCTACCCTAGCTTCTTCGCATCTCTGCCCTAGCTCCTTCGTGTCTCTACCTCTCTCGAGCCGAGTCACACTTCTCTATGTTGCCTCTCATGCGTCTCTGCCCTTAAGACATCTTCTCTCTCTCGTTTTTATTGTAAAAAGTGCTCTTCCCTCCTCTCCCACGGTATCCTCTATCATTTACATTTGCAATTTTTGGTTGATTTGAAATGTGTAGCTTTCTCAGTACATTTTGTGGCTTTCTTCTACAGGTGTAATCAAGTTTACTATCAGAAAGATGAGATTTTAGATTTTGGTATCCTCTACCATTTTTTTGTTGTTTGTGCTCTTTACTCTACTCGGTTTGTGACCTTAGGGTCTTTTGTAACTAGCTTTTTCTATTTGTGGCCCCTGAAATAAATGATTTTGAAATTTGAGAGCCCTAGAATGGCTGGAATTGGAACTTGTAGCATCTGAAATTAAATTTTTGTGACATATGCCGGTTTTGGAGGCCGGGAATGTCTTTCTAGTTTATGGTATCACTATATAATCTATTTTTAATTTTAGTTAGTTTGGGTTGTTTGCCCTCTTTCTCATATGCACGGTTTTGATGCAAAACCAAGAAAATAAATTTTCGGCTTTGAAAAATTGAATGAAGAATTTTCAATGGTGTTTTGTGGATGTTTTTTGAAGAAATGGGGCAACAATTCACTAGTTGGAATGGGCCGATTGGAGGCATTTGAAGGTCATGTGATGCTTGGAATTTTGTGGAGGTGATGTGAATGTATTCAAATGTTTCATGGTTTGTAGGTGCTATGACATCCATGATGTTCTGTAGGTGTGTTGGTGTGGTGGTGTGCAGGTGCTATGTGTGATATTGGTGTTGTGTAGGTGTTATGTATATGGGAGTGGTGTTGGTGGTGTGTTGGTGGTATGGCGGTTGAGTGTTGTGGGTGGTGGTGTGTGGGTGATATATGTGGTGGTGTGATGGTGTAGTGGTGGCAGTGTGTGTGCATGGAAGTGATGTGTAAGCGCTATGTGTGGCAGTCTATTGGTGTGGTGTTGGTGTGTAGGTGCTATGTATATGGGAGTGGCATTGGTGGTGAGTTGATGGAGTGGCGGTTGGGTTCTATGTGTGGTGGTGTGTGAACATGGGAGCAGTGTTAGGTGCTATGACATCCATGGTGTGGTGGTTGTGTGTTGGTGTGTTGATGGTGTGGTGGTTGGGTGGGGTGCTATGTGTGGGGTGTGGTGGTGTGTATACATGGGAGTAATGTGCAGATGCTATGTGTGGTGGTGTATTGGTGTGGTGGTGGTGTGTAGGTTCTTTGTATATGGGAGTGGTGTTGGTGATGAGTTGATGGTGTGATAGTTGGGTGCTATGTTTGGTGGTGTGTTGGTGTGGTGGAAGTGATGTGTGTACATGGGATTGATGTGTAGTGTGGTGGTGCGATGGTGTGGTGGTGTTATTTTTTGTGTGGGTGTTGTGTAGGTGCTATGTATATGGAAGTGGTGTTGGTGGCGTGTTGATTTTAGACGTTTCTTTTCTGTTATATTTTTCTAATTTTTGGAATTTTAAGTGACACTTTATGTTTTCATAAGGTAACCTTATATTATGTGTCACACATTTATGTTGTTTGATTCTTTTCATTCTAATAGTCGTCATGGTAAAGACAAATAAAATCGGTTCGTCAGTCATGTGAGTTAAAGAGGTGAAGCTGATATTTTATGATCTTTATCTTAAAGAGTTAGAATTGCAAAATAGGCCAACCACCTACTTTAATAAGGAAGGAAGACAGAATATAATTAAAAAGTTCAAGGAAAGCATGGGATGAGAATACGATAAAATGCAATTAAAAAATAAGTGGGATTAGTTGAAAAATGACTGAAAAATAAGGAAAGAGCTAAAGCGGGGATCTACAAGCTTAAGTTGGGATCCGATAAAAAGAACCATTGATGTGTCGAAGAAATGGTGGGTCGAGAGATTGGAGATAAAAATTTATGAAATGTTCAATCCTTCACATTTTTTTTCAATTGCATCATGTCATTCATCCATTAATTTGTAGGTCGTGTCAAATGCTAAGAAATTTAAATTCAGTGGCATTGACCCTGAGGTTGAGGAAAAGTTGAATCATATGTTCAGTGGAGTCATTGCCACAAGAGAAAATGCATAGGCCCCAAGCGAAAGAGGGTTTGCTGGCATATCTGAGCATTTAGATATCATATAAACCGCTGACTCCAATGAAGGCCCCAACCCTAACCTCAATGAAATTGAATCAACTAGTTGACCCAAGCATCCTAGATTTGAGAAAAAGTAAAAAAAAAGGTGCAGTTTTTGTTATAAGCCAAATTTCACTATTAGTTGCTTCATGCACCAATGACCCTGGTACAACCCAATAACTTTTATAAATCAAGTCATGCGAATTCTTTCAGCAACTCCAAAAATTTACGAGGACATGTCATTTTATTTGTTCTCTATTAAGTTGCTTCAAGATCCAAGTCGGAGAGAGTTTTTTATGCCAATGACTTTTGACCGTAGGATCAATGACTTACGTTATTTCCAAAACAATTGGGATGCATATATTTTTTTTTACTTGTTGGACACTACATGTTTGATATTTATGGGGACATTATTTGTACTACTCGCAATATGCTTGAGTTTCATTACTTATTGGGCGTTTTATATTTGATCTTTATGGGGTTATTTACATTTCAAACTTTCGTTATCATATTTTTTATAATGCATTTTCAAGCTAATTCGGTATTATTTATATGTGATAGCTGCATAAACAATGAATAGCATGGATAAAAAAAGGCACAGAAGAACTGCAGTTGTGTTATGCTAAATGTATAAGTATTACAACTCATATATCGCTCACTCACCTTGCATGACATCCACATACATAGGTGATATATAGATAGGAGAGTTTATTGGTCACCATACAAGATTTAGCAATACGTTCCGTATGAGAGCCCGTATTCATTGATCTGTTAAAAGAACTGCATAGAAATCATGGATTTCATGACTCCTCTAAGATGACTTCTAGAGAAGTGTTAGCAATAACCCACTACATTTTATCACAGAATGAATCTATAAGATGAATCAAGAAAGCGATTCTAGCATACATCAGAAGCAATCAACAAATAAATTTTAACTAGGTTGAATGCTGTGATCAGCTTATCATAAAAAATTATTAAACCCGAAGACCCAGAATTCCAAAGGACCCCCATAAGGTCTCACAGGCCAACATTACATGCCATGTTTTAAGATAGATAAATGTGTTCGTATTTTCCAAAATTTACTTAAACACGGTAATTTAAATACCCATTATAAATGCTTTAAAATTGTGTTAGGGCGATTGAGGGAATGCATGTGGATGCATGAGTTTCAAACAGTGAAAAGATTACATAAATCGACGATGTGGTTTACCAATACAAAAAATAATGGTTGTATACGTTAGCATGTGATTCACCTTTGTTATGGTCGGATGAGAAGATAGTGCACACGACAGTCACATATTTAAATTTGTAATGTGAAGTCAAAAATACAACTTTCCGAATTCACCCCAGAATTCACTTTAATATGAATAAATTAAATAATATTTCAGTGCAATACTAATGATTTTAATGATATCAGAGAAATTTTATTTGGTCGATGTTTGATATCCTTCACAAAAAAGATTTCTCAAACTATTTCCTGATACCAAATACTACATTCTTGATATTGAAAGAGCTGGCAATGTTGCTCGGAATAGTAAAAAGATGTTTAACAAGAGACACTTATCCTTACGCGGTGTTATCGAAAGAACATTTAGAGTTTGGAAAAAAAATGAGTTATTCTGCGAAATATGCTCACATATCCGTTCAACAAACAAATGCAAATTATGGTTGTCATAATAACTCTCCACAACTACATTCGGCGGTATTCTTCGCGTAATATCATTGACTTCAATAGGGTAGAAGAAGATCATTTGCATGCCCCTGTTGAAGTATATGAATATCACTTAGAACAATTAATATCACAGGCGGAAAGTGATTTGCCTGAGTCCTATACCCAAGATGGGGAAGATGTTGGAGAGATGATGGAGTTGAGAGAGCAAAATATATATGTCATTGTTAACGGATGAAAGAATGTTGTATGTTCTTTTTTTAATTACTTTATATGCAACGTGTTGTCAGAAGGCTTAATATTTTTATTACTTTATGTGCAAAGGTTTATGAATCTCATTTTAGTGCAAATTTATTTTCAGTTTTTTTGCATGTATTACTTCGTGTATTTATTTATTGCATGTTTTATTTTTGATTTTGAGGTCTATGATGAGACATTTGACCTTATGAGTTCTTCTGGATAACCTATATGTTATTATGGGATCTTGACACGTATGAAATCGCTACTAAGGCAACCAAATTCCCCTCTTTTCCAGTCGTATGCTGGTTGAGGTTCTTCTAGATGGCCTTTATGGTGATGTCTCTAAGACACATACGAGCTGAGTATTATGTGGCTTAAAGTCAACTAAAAATCTTTTTTCTTAAATGTCTATTGTATTCTTGAAATGACAGATTATTCGTTGGTTTATATTTTCTGCTCTGAAAACTCACAATTTTATAAAACTTTAATTGAGTATTTGTATTATTCTTCATTACTAATATTGCATCTAATAGTCTGTTCTTTGTGATTCCAAACCTTCCGAAAAAATGAGCTCGAGGACTTCTGGTGTCATTAGAGCATTGTACTGTTACTGTGGACTAGTATTCTCTGCTTACTTCATGACAGTAACATAGTTATGAGAGATAATTTTACAGGTGTCCAAGAAATAGAGCAGAGAACTGTGATTTCTTGAGGTGAGTGAATCAGTTTGATGATTTCACCATCGATAATGATCAGGCATGGAGAATTTCGTTGAAGAAGAGATTATCTGATGACATTAATTATTTGCATTTTAAAAATAATATCATGATAATGTTACTTGTTATTTTAATAGTTTTACTTTTTATTTTGATTGTTGTGTTGCTACTTAGTGAGGTGTCACTTTTATTATGTAATATTCAAATTGGATATCTTTACTCATGAATGAAATGTGCAATCAGAACTGATTTTGTTATAAACAGCACAATACTACAGAGGGAAAAATGTCATTTATTTATAAAACAACTGTAGCACAGTTGTAAAATTGCACAAAACAAAAAAACATACAACTTTCCCGCAGCAACTTCCTGACACAGCTACTACGCAGCAGTTGCCCCAAACAGAGCCTTAGTCATGACTCATGGCAAGGCTTAATTCTTAATTCCAACCACAAAAAAGTTAAAGCCTCTTGTATATCAATCATGTCTTCCTTTAAAAATATACCATGAATGTTTGCTGTATTTCTCATGGATTAAGCAGATGCTATCAAGCCTTCCAAGTCTAGTGGAGACAAACAACAGACCTTCCACATAAAATCCTATTTTCAAACAAAACGGAATAGCAAAAGCACCAATATCAGGTTAAAACAAAGCATTGTGATTTCGGCCAACATCGTGAAACCCTTTATTAAAAAACTAATGTTACATCCCCTGAGAGGCCCTCCTACCCATTATTAGGCTAGCACTAACTGATGTGTACATCCCAGGTTTTTCCAAGAAACCAGTAGTACAATAAATAAAACTAAATTTTCAAAATATAAATAAATGAAGTTTTAGCCAAGTGCAACAAAGAAAATCTGGGAAATAAAAAAAATAGAAATTCCTATTATTCTTTCAACTTCCTTCTGTGTGCACTATGGCATTATTATTATGCAAATCTTAGAACGTGTTCTCTCTCTTTGGTTTCTTGAGTTGTGAAAGTTAACAAAAGAATCATAATTTCCATGAGGAAACATCTCCCTAGGTCCTTCAAATCAATCTAACGATAAGAGTGACATTGCTGATCACCGGATTGACTAAAACTGTGTCACAGTAAAGTAAAAATTGACATATGCTACTTGCTGTCAGAAACCTATCCGCCTATGTAACAACAAAAGCGGTGAATCAACATATGCCTCAGTGAATGCCTCTGTTTTTCCCTGGAAATAAACTCTTCGATGAAAGTTTTGCCCCGCCCAAATCCCATGGCAATAGGTTATGGTTTTAGGGTGAGGATGTGATGCAGAAGTGAAAGCGGAAGAAGTGAAAGAAATTTCAATTGAAATGAAATCTCTAGTCAAAGAAATGGCTTATAGAACCGTTTAAAATAGATTTTAATCATTTCTTTGACCTGAAATGAATTGCCACAGAGTAACTAGATTTAGATTTTAAAAGTTGACCTATTTCTTAGTTACGGAATTTCAGGGACCATGGTGAGAGGAAATGAATATATGAGAACAAAATGTGCCCTTGGAAGATGTAAATAGCAAGCTATAGTCAAAGGATCAAATCGAAAAAATTAAATGCTAGTTAGACTTACTGGTACCTAGCCGTTATGAAAATATTGAACAATGATTTCAGAGGCATTATAATTCAAACCCAAATATAAAAGGAATTCCAATCACAACACTCAACCAATACTAGTAAATTTTCGTTGTCAACAGAATGTGCAGAGAACTTTCACACAAACAAACCAAATGCTACTATTAAGAAGAAAAAAATAATAAGATTACATTATTAAAGCCTCATTTTTAACTATGAAACCTTTTAATATTCAATACGAATGCAAGACCGCTAATCTTACAAATAATAAAATTCTTGAACTAGTTTAGTAAATGAATGATTAGTAGCATACAGTTTTAACATAAGAATTTAATTACCGTCGAAACCTTTGGAATTTTAGCGGAAGATGAGAAAGAAGTCCCTGCCAAAATATTAAGTAAATGGTGTGAGAGATCAAGAATGGTGAATCATAAATGGCTGCATAGAGATCATCTAACAAGAAATGTTTATTGTTTTAGTGAACAAAGAGGCCAAACAACAAATTTAAAGCATGGGCAAGTTTAAGCTGGAAATTTCGAAGGAAATTTGTTGCCAAGTTCAAATAAGAATAGGATAAATGATTATGCTTATAACCAAAACCACTCTACAATGTCAAGTACTCACCTTATGCTCACGAGAGAGCTTTCTAAATGACCTTTCATACCTCTTGACATCCTCCTCTGCGGCATCAGCGTAACTGAACCACAATATTTACATTTTTAAATTAAAAAGAGATGCAACAAAGAGTAACAAGCAAAAAAACAGAAATAAGCACCAAAAAAAATTAACAAAAATAAATATTTCCTGGAAAAACAACTTGAAACGGGCAACCTAATTTCATTCAACTTTATTAATGCTCCTTCCAAGCAAGTTGCTATTTTAGGTTCTAAATTTTATAAGGAAATCCCTCCGAGCAACTTACCACAAAGGTGACAAAAGATAGGGGCATGAGATAGACACTGTAAAATGACATGGCACGAGGATGATATTTTCTTATATAAATTACTAATATAGAATGTGTGATCAAAAAAGCAAATGTAAATATTTTTTATATCTAAAAAAACGCCCAATTTGAATACGCAATCGAAACATAAAAATATTTTTTAGTCAATTTCCATAATAATGTAAATTTAACAATTTTCCATGCAAATCCAAAGCAATTCAATCCTCCTATCTTCAAGAATCATCTTGCAGTAACAACTAATTTAGTTAGAAGTATGAATTGTAATTTTAATATTTGAAAGAAATGTAGAGATAATACAGAAGTGATTAACAATTGTCCTTGTATTTCTTCCCTTCCACAAAAAATAGATAATGGCATGGATCACTATTACATTTTTGTTATTGTGTAATTTGTGTTCAAATGGCTCATTTCACAAAAATTATTATGCTTTCCCTTCCACAAAAATGTCATTGTATATACGTTTTTTCTCTTGAACGCCATTAATTTCATGTTAGCTTGTTTGTCCCACAGTCAAAATGAGTAAACCTAAAGAATCCGAATCATCGACCATGTGGGATAAAGAGACCACCCTGACATTTTGTGAACTTTGTGTGAGGGAAGTCGAGTTGGGTAATAGGCCGACCACCTATTTCAATAAAGAAAGTTGACAGAATCTAATGATTAAATTCAAGGAACTAACCGGAAAGGATTACAATTGGATGAAACTAAAAAACAAATAAGATCAATTAAAAAAAACTGAAAATTTTGGAAAGAACTCAGAAGAGGATCAACAGGATTGGGTTGGGATTCACTTAAGTGGGCAATAGATGCACCAGATGAATGGTGGGTTGAGAAGTTAGAGGTAAATACATACTTATATTTGCTTTTTGCATTTATTGCATTTTTCTAAAGATTTTTCTAATAATTTATCTTTTCTATTAGAGGTAGTGCCGGCAGCCAAAAAATTCAAACTTAGCGGCGTTAATCCAGTATTAGAGGAAAAGTTGGATGGCATGTTTATACGTGTTGTCGCTACCGGAACTCATGCTTTCACCCCAACTGATCAAAGCTTTGTTGGTTTAACACATGACATGGAAACCGAGCACATAGGCGAGTCTGGAGGTCCCAGTCAAGTGCATATAGATGTTCAATCAACCGGTGGGACAAAGCGTCCCAGAGCGGAAAAGAAGAAAGTTGGAGCTGTAATTGTCACAGGTTCCATAGAGATGCTATTTGAATCCTGCAAACCGAAGACTGCACCACCAACACCAACAACAAACAACTGCTCAATTCAGGAGTGCCTTAAAATCCTAAATACATATCCCGGTTTGCAAACATATTCTATATGACGAAGGAGATATTTCTTGATCTGCTTAATGAACTTCGGAACCTTCATGGATTACACGACTCATTAAGAACAACTGCCAGAGAGGTATTGGCAATTACCCTGTATATCTTATCCCAAAATAAATTCATTAGAGGAGCTAAGGAGCGATTTCAACATTCCTCGGAAACCATCAGTAGATATTTTTCCGTGGGTTTAAATGTGCTAGTAAGTCTGGCATACAAGATAGTAAAACTCGAGGAACCAACGTTTCAAACCATTCCCACATAAATTGCAAATGACCCTCGATACATACCCTTTTTCAAGGTAAGTTCCCAACATAACATTCATTTTCAAGAAAAAAATTTATTGATTTTAAATGATTTAGGGGTACTTTATAAACCACAGGATTGTATTGGAGCTATTGACGGAACACACATCGATGCATGGCTGTCTCCTGCAGAGAATGTCATTTACATCGAACTGTGTGGATCTCCAACACAAAATGTCATGGTCATGTGTGATTTTAATGTGTTTTACTTTCGTGATGGCTGGATGGGAAGGTAGCGCACACGATAGTCGTGTTTTCAAGTTTGTTACTAGAAACCGAGCATATGGGTTCCCTTAACCTCCTTTAGCAACGTATATTTGAGAAATAAATTTCGTTATGTACTTCCATTTATAACTAACATCATGCAACAGGTAAGTACTACTTGGTCGACACCGGATATCCCTTACAAAGGGGGTTTCTTAAGTCGTATCCAAATACAAAGTATCATATCCCAGATTTTGAAAAGTCAAGCAGTTTAGCATATAGGAAGAAAGAATTATTCAATAAAAGACATTCATCATTGCGAGGCATAATTGAACGATCATTCGGAGTGTGGAAGAAGAAATGGATTATATTGCGTGATATGCCTACTTATCTATTTCTGAAGCAGGTCCAGATAGTAGTGGCCACCATGGCACTACACAACTTTATTAGAAGGCATCCTTCAGAACTGATGCAGAATTTGACGTGGTTGATGTGGATTTACTGCAAATTCCCCCCGAAGCAGACGACATTAGTGAAACATGTTAAGTCATGTATTTTAAATTTTGGTTAAACAATTACGAATGTTTGCAATAATCATTTATGTTAATTTTGGTTAAATTACACGAAAGCATAAACATTGCATGCCTTTTTTACATGTTAATACATACACTTTGTTCTACATCTCAAAGTTGATTTCCTTTATGGTTGTAGTATACTTCAGTAGAGATGGCTTTATGTGGGTAATTATGGCTCAAACTATATATTGTTGTTTTTAATAGCAGCTCATCTCATACTCACATCCAAATATTACTTTGTCCCCCATTGATCTGTTAGGCTATTTGATAACATATCCGCTTTTCTAAAGTAATGAATGAAATGGTTATAGAGTTATAGAATTGATGCAATGTCTGTATTGGAAGGCTATGGTATTTTAAGTCCAGTAATGGTATTTTTTTTATTACTGTTGGAATTTTTTATAATGGTTGCTGTTGAGATACTTCTATATGGACACTTCACATTGCTTATGAGATACTAGTATATGGATACGTCTATATGGATACTTCTATATGGATCAAGAATGAGAATGGTTATAGATTTGGGGAGTAAATGAGTGGGAGAGTTATTTTTTTTTAGCTATTAAATTGCTTCCCAATTCTACATTCAACCATACATGAGTGGGAGAGCTGTTTTATTACAGTGATGTCAGGGTAGTACATTGTTTGCATCAATTGCTATGCAAACAGTACGTTGTTTGCTTTAAAGTGATGAGCTATTATATTGTTATATTTGAGCTATTAAACCGGATACAGCATATTGTCTCATTGCAGCTTGGATGGCCCTACTTTTCGGGCAACCGCTGCTTATTGTTGGTATCTTATTGGCAGTTATGTTCTTTTGCTTTACCAGCATTTTTGTTCTTTTTGCTTTACCTGCCGTTTACCTTCCGTGGGATGTTATACCTGCAGTTTTGTTCTTGACTGACATGAGCAGTATTGATTCAAAATTTCCCTACTCTCATTGCTGCCAGCTAGTGGTCTTTCACTGGTGTTGGATTAGATATGTTCTTGACAACTTCTTATGAATATGAGACTAGAGCTGAGGGAATGATCCCTGATTTCATAGTTATCGAAGTAAACAAAAATATTACCACTGCAACTAAGAATGTTAATCAATTGCTACAAAACTTTAAAGAAGTGCCTTTAACAGCTTTATAATGAATTGCAAGACCAAGTTTAATATATGTGATTTTCTGTAAACAAAGATATTACCTTTAGCAATGAAGTTTTTAATTAGAATAGGGAAAATTGCTTAGATCACAAATTTTGTTCTGGGGATTAATAATTTATTCCTTTTCAATATATGCTCCTTTAATTTTATCAGATCAAAGTATTAATTTTTTATTTATTTATCCTACATCAACTTCAATTTGATGATCCTGAATATTAAGAACTTTTTGAATTGGATTAACTTCTAGCCGTGCACTATAGCCTTTCTGAAAAAAATTTTTATGCCTATCTGAAACATATTGCTGGAAGTAAGCATTTAAATGGTTTAATACCTTTCTTCAGCAACCTGAAGTTCTTTGGGTTGCATACATCATTTACGTGTAGCAGTTATCAGCTTTAGGCATTTGAATGGATTGGTACCTATATGGGTTATATTTCCCGTCTTTATGGATGTGTTGGCTGCACTTCGAGGTTCTCATTTCATTTCATGAGCTACAAGTTTTTCATTATGAATGAATGCTGACATTTGCTGAGAATTTTAAAGGAAAGCTGATTTTTTTTTTTTTTTAGTTACCTGAAGTTCTTTGGGTTGCTGCGACCATTTATGTGTAGAATTTGCGGTTGTTTTATTAAGAAATCTATCTTATTATCTGTTAAAGTGATAGACATTTGCTGTGAATGCAGAAAGTTTAATTGTTCTCAGCAGTGGCCATGTAATCAAAGCCTCAACCATTTCTTTCTTCAGCAACTGTCTGTATGAATTTGTATCTCATTATGAGCTGGAGTTTGTATGAATAAATGCTATGAATTTGCAACTGTCTGTTGCTGGTTCGGTTATCCTGTGTTCTCCTGTTGTTAATTCGGTTATCGTGTGTTTACATAAGAATTGTGCTTCACAGTTTGTTGATAATTCTGTGATGTAGTCTTTTGGGTCTCACTATAGTGCAAGGATGTTATATATGGCTGCTATATATTGTTGCTATATATGGGTCTTATGTTAACATATGTGGTATGGTAAAAATAAAGTTTTTAGATGAAATAGAAAGTACCTGCTGCACTTTGATATTTCAATTGTTCTCACCAGTGGGCATATGATCCAAACCTGAATTTTTTTCTTGCTTAAGAAAGTGGCAATATGTTGGGTGTTTACTGTTTTATACCTTGAAGT